GGTGCCGCCTGATAAGCGAGGTAATGATGTTAACAACGATGGCCAGTCAGACTTTGTAAGTGGGGGGAGGCCCGAGCTCCAGGGAGTCATCATTGGAAATCTTACCCGCGAAGAATTGATAACTATGCAAAAGAACGACCCCAATGTCGCGATCGTGCTCGATTGGCTCACCAAGTCACCTGACAGACCAGCACGCAATCTTGTGCAGGATAAGAGTCCTACTGTTCGAAACCTATGGTTGTCCTGGCAACAGCTGCAAATTGTTGATGGGTTGTTGTACAAACGCCATGACACTAATTCAAAACTCACAACAAGATTACAACTGGTTGTTCCGGAGAAGTTACAAGACCGTGTGATTGAAGCTAATCATGCCTCAATTTTCGCTGGACATTTGGGAGCTAAAAAGACATTAAGTAGAATATCACGCAGTTTTTTTTGGCTCAATATGAACGAAGCAGTCCGCCTATTCATAGCAAATTGCGTAATATGTGGTGCTAGGAAACGACCAACATCGAAGCCAAGGGCACCACTGGGAGAATATAATGTCGGGCACCCCATGGATCGAATTGCAATTGACATTATGGGCCCCCTTCCAGTTAGTGACAATGGAAATAGATACGTCATGGTTGTAGGTGACACTTTCACTAAATGGATTGAGGCATACGCCATCCCAGCCGAGAAACTTGTTAATGAATTCATATCTCGATTTGGAACGCCCTTAGAGCTTCATTCTGACCAAGGCAGGACATTCGAATCTAACCTATTTCAGGACGTCTGCAAATTACTCGGAATTACCAAGACAAGAACAACTCCATACCACCCCTCCTCAAATGGAATGATTGAAAGATTCAACCTGACTCTTGCCAACATGATCTCATCTTTCGTGGATAAAAACCAAAAAGACTGGGACAAGAATTTACCACTTTTGACGGCGGGGTACAGAAGTTCTACACACGAAACTATAGGATTTTCTCCTAATTTCCTCATGCTAGGTCGTGAAGTACGGACACCGTTAGAGTTTTCACTCGACATCGACCCGATTGACGAGGAACCGAGTGATATCGGAGGATATGCTAACCGGATGGCCAAAACAATGAAACAATCATGGAAGCTAGCTCGTGACAACATTGGGAGAAGTACGTCTAGGCAAAAGCGCAATTATGATTTGCGTACATCAGTCAACAACTATGAAGTCGGCGACCTAGTCTACCGTCTAGACTCCACTAGGCACAAGGGCCTATCTCCTAAACTTAAAAGTGCACGATGGATAGGCCCCTGTGTAATCACGAGAAAGCTAAGTGAATTAATATTTGAAATTCGCAGTAGCCCGAGAGGAAAAACGACGATTCTTCATCATGATAGACTCAAACCCTTCCTTTCAGCCAACGTGCCATCATGGGCCCGAGAACTATCCCAACATGCACGAAATGTGTTTACTACTAGGAATCAACGACAGGCTGGAACACAGACTAATCCCAAGGACGGCATCGAACTGAGGAGGAGCGGCCGAAGGCCAAGACCGCCCGCCCGGCTTAGTTTATAAACAACGGATCTGGCCATCATCGGTTTTGGCATATCTCGTCATTCCATGCCAATAACTTCAACAAGACGAGACGCCTGCTATTCACTCCTATATTTCTACAATGGCTTACCACTCGTCATATCTGACAATGGGGATGCATAACTGTGATGGGGATATGGATAGCAGGTTCGCATCTCCATCGACCCCCATTGTCGATGAGATCGAGAGGGCCTACTCCCCGGTTTCGGCGGCGGGTGACGAGGGCATCAACAAATTGTGCCATTTATTTGGATATTACTCTTCCGGATTATTTTCATCAGATGTTTAAACTGTGCCGTTTATTTGGATATTACTCTTCTGGATTATTTTCATCAGATGTTTCACTCTCTGTCCCTTTTTTTTTTCTTCTGTTGTTTCGGTGGAGATTAATCATTCAACCTGTTAAGTCGTCCAGCATGACATGGTCATTTATTTTGAAATTGGTGTGTTGAGCCAATTGTATAATGTGTTTAACATGTACCTGCTCTTCGTTCACGAAAAAAGGAAGCGTTCGTACTTCAGGATTTATCATAGATACGAGGAAATATACCACATGACGAGTCGACGATTTCAAAGGGAAACCGAGTGCCTTTTTATTTATTTTTGACGGTTGCTGCATTGGGTGCCAGCCTCAGTCAGAAGGGGAGCACAGCAATGGCAACAAGAGGACGCAGTGCATGGCCATTTATTTAGTAGTAATAGTTTCGTATGTGTAGGGCCAATTTATTTTTGTTCATTTTATTTTTCGAGAGCATCGGTGCGGAAAACGGAGGCAGAGAGTCATCATTTGGATAGCGTTAGAGATCTCGACATCGTATTAGTTTTGTTGGCGAATTTTTGTGTATGCGTCGGAGAGAATGAGAAATTATTATATCAGTTTGGAAATCACGGGACAACCTCGAAGATATCGGAGCAAAGTCAATCATTCATGTCCATGATATTGCGCCATGTAGAAGTGGAGGACCCGCCGTAGATACTTGATTGTCAATTTGTCATGTGTTGGGAATATTGCGAAGTCGACATGCTGAGTCAATGCTGTTACGTGATCCTTATGGAATATCCTAAAAATATTCTTATTTCTGATTGAGTTATCTGAATTCAGTATAGAGGCGAGTTTACACAACCACGAGCTTTATCATGTTTATGGAAGCAGAATTATCATTACAAATTTCCCGAATATAATGGAATATCAATGTGAAGCCAGGATTCCTACACAGAGTCACTCTCGCTTAAACTTAAATCAGCAGGACAAGACATCGGTCCTCGTCGACAGATCTGGACATTTATTTTAACATTTCAAGATAAACTGGGACTATTTGATCATAGATCGAGGAGACTTTGATAGAGAACTCTGTTGTCCGAATGAAGATTGCGCGATTCTTTTACCGAACTTTGTTTCATTGTTGAAACTGTCGTTTTGAATCTATTTTGTACATGTTATCAATTATATATTGCATTTGCATTCTATTACCTCTCCTTATTTCTAGCCCTCGGCAACAATATGCCTCCCTTTATACCTCTCGATCCTTATAATTATCTTTCTTCTCTTGTTCCTCTCTCCATCTATTTCCCTATCACTATGTCTTCTCTATTTTTCTGTTACATATTTCTATGATGTGATTGAGATGTTTTAATCTTTTAATCGATTTTTGTGCATATAGTTGAAACTCAATTCGTTAGCGGCCGCGTAGCCGTTTTCTTGGGAACGTATTTTTGTGTGTTGAGTTTAGTACCCCTCGTTCACTGATATTCTGTTCGGCCTGTCTTGAGATCCGAAGCTGTCATATTGCTGCTAGAGGCATGGTGATGCGTAATCACAATGATCGCGTTTTTTTCGGATCGCGTGCTGCATTTCTGCTGACCAAGAGTGGAAAAAAAAAAAAAAAAAAAAAAAAAAAAAAAAAAAAATTGATACTGTTGAAGCGGCTTTCATTCTGCTGCTTCAGCAAATCTTGACTAAAAAAAGATGTCAGTGTACGAGGCGGTTAATTGTCAATAATTTTACAGCATTTCAGTAGCTTTTGTTTTTGCTATTTGTTGTTTTCAATTCCATATATCTTATTGCAACCTGAACGATTATGTAAATAATTAGGTCTGCTTTGACGTTGTATTTCTAGTATTATATTAGTTCTCCTCGACTTTTCGACAGTTACTTGCGTTGTATTGTAGTAGCCTGTAAAGGATACTTTTTTATGTCTTATATAGATTTTCGTTTTACTTTATAAGGTCGTGGCTTCATGACCCCGAATCTTATGTCAAACTCACCAAAACTTTTGAAAACTAGATTACACTGTACCAAGCGATTAAGACTGTGCTGGTTTCTATCACAATGTTACGTATGGGTAGCCAAACATATATGCCGTTTTGAAATTTACACATGTCGTCTGTTAAAGTGCTAATTAGGCAACTTTTGCAACGTGCTTTTATTTTGACCAAGTTTTCAGATTCAGATTTGATGTTTGCTATCCCTCATTCGCTTCATTACACGATATGTCAGGATTTTTTTCCTTTAAATTCGTTATATACATTGTAGTGCAAATTTTTTTTGGTTTAACATGACTGTAATTCTATTTTTTTTTTATCAATCACTGAGGACAGTGACTTTTTAAGGAGAGGGGGAATAGTGTTACGAATTTAGATATATGTCTGTATCATGTGCATACACTGCATAGTCCATTATTATTTCGCTATAATATTATTGCTTGCTGTGCAAGTCAAACTTGTCCTTCGGTAGATTTACGACGTTGTTTTTCGTCCTCGAGTAATTCTTGCAGTTCGATTGCGTAAGCCCAGGGCCACGCTCGTCTAAGAGAATCTGTCCTCGTCTTACGTAACGGCAAGGACAGATACTCAGTCGCGTGCGGCCTCCGACTGACCCCGAGCGGAGGCCAGACTTTGTCCTCAGTTTGAGGACAGACTCTGCCCTTTAGCTCGAGGTCGGGTTGTGTCCTTGCTGCTACAAAACAGCTCCCTATATAAAGCCAGGGATTCTAAAATCGAGAGACTTCTGACTGACTTCTTGAGACTTCTCCTCGTACTCCTTTCTGCCGTTTTTCGTAATTCACTGAACCTGACTGTATACCAAGTTGTCATTATTTGAAGTAATAAACATCGAATGGAACTGAAACTCACGAATACTCCATTTCTTCTGTTGAATTTATATTGCAAACACGCATGAGCTCGAGTGAGAGAGATATTGAGCGAGAACTGAACGAGAGCAGTCTGAATTAAACACTTGTAATCAAATTTCGTTACAATATTTTCTCGACCAAATATCTCGCTAATTGCAACTGCGGGCTGATGAAGACGCGCAAATTAACTGGTTAATTTGCGATCGGGATAGTTAAAATAGCGGGTTGTTTGGCAAACTCAAGCTGAAAAGGACATGCCTATAGATCAGACACAGTGTAGAATCATCTACATATGATGCTAGACTTACCTGTCCCTTTTGATCTAGTCTTCGACCCCTTCCTGAACCACTGTTTGCTGTTCTGTTAGGCGTCTCTATTCTCTCTGCTCCTTTCCCACTGGGTTTTCGGATCGGACTTGTTAGCCACTTCCTAGTACACAAACAAGAAAAGAAAGCAAACAGATCAATTAAAATAAAATATACAAAATAGATAATCACTTTATTAATCACACTTGAATTAAATTGTATCTTTGAATTAAAATGAAGTTCCTTGTTGAGAATCAACATAGAAAGTCCTGTCTCTCGGTAACTATTCATTCACATATTGAATAGATTGAACAGATTTGACTAAGATAATTTGCAATAGAAACTATTAAAACAGACATCAATAGAAAATTAAACTACTCATACATGCACTGTCACGTGACAAGGATTATGAACAACTTTCAAAGCGGAAGTGAAATCTGTCTAAGCTGAAGTGATACTGTCAGTAGTAACATACATGTACTTTACAGTGTTGTAAACTGATTTAAAGAGAAGGTTGAGTTCTGGGAAGAGGTGAAAAATAATTTGTGAGCATTATCATTGTATTATGGAAGTGTGGAAGAACATCAGATAAAAAATGTTTCCTAAAAAGCATGGCTCTTCAAATCCTTAATATTCTAGATATTGCATGTAACATCATAATAAGCCAGACAGATTTTTATGCTACATGTTCGTGTAGTCCAACAAACATCTTTCAGTGTACAGTGCTTGTAATTTTACCAAGGCTGGGCCAATTCGTTTATCATTTTGATGATTCTAGAAGCTTGCAGTACACACCAATACTTATATGCAAGATAATCAACCTTTTCTGATCGATTCCACAACGTTTATTTCACAATGCAATCGCATGACCAGAACTCAACATTAAAAGCCAGATTAACAAGCACTGTCATTCTAAAAATAGGTGCATCTTTGAATTAAAATGAAGATCCATGCGGAAAATCAACATAAAAAGACCTGTTTATCGGTATCTATTCATTCAAATATTGAATAGATTGAACAGATTTTTACGAAGATAAGTGGCAATAGAAACTGAACAGACATCAATAGAAAATTATGCTCCTCTCACATGACAAGGATCATTAACGACTTTCAAAGCGGAAGTGAAATCTGTCTAAGCTGAAGTGATACTGTCAGTAGGGGTGCGTTTAATCGACACTTTTTCACCCTAGAATCACGGTTTCTAAAGACGTTTAGTTTAAAACGCAATGCGTTCAAGCGATTTTTTCGTCGGTCGTAAAAATAAACGTGTTTGAAAACACAAACATGAAACGCTGAAAAAGATGCGTTTTGTATCATGATTCAAAAGAATCACGGTCGCTAAAATTCGATTGAACGGACGGAGTTCTCAATCATGATTGTATGACGAAGCCTCTTCCGGTTTGGGAAAAACCGCGCGCCCGCTTGCGAATTTTTTTTCCGTACTCGAGAGAGCAAAAATCCCATGTGCGCATGCGCGTGGACTTATGATTTCTCTGCTACTTCCCATACGAAATGTACATGTATTCGCATGTACTGTGCACGATTCGCGTTCTACGAGTAAACGATGGCATAGTAGTCTTCAAACACAGACTCTGATTTGCCAGTTTGACAAATCAATATGCGTATGTGTCGCGATGTGCTTATTCAAGTCTGTGTAGTTGTATGATTCAGACCCAGTAGTGCATATGGAAATACATTGCAACTTGTATAGAATGGTATAGTAGTCTGCAAGCACAGACGCTAATCTGACAGTTTGACAACATACTAGTAGTGTGCTGAGAAGTACTTTATTCAAGTCTGCGTACCTTATGGTGTGTGGGTTTATCATATATAGGCCTACTATCGTTTGTTCAGAGCCAGAAGGGCATTCGTTGTGTTAAGAGTTAACATCCTTCTGGCTCTCAGCAGACCATGATTATAAATAAAAGTAATACAGAGAGTGCGAGCATACTGGAGGGAGAGCTAGAGAGAGAGAAAGAGAGAGAGATAGAGAGAGAGAGAGAGAGAGAGAGAGTGAGAGAGCAGTGGCACAACACAGAAAACTACGAAAACTTGAATAAAAGCACTACTCAATACACAATAGGCCTATATTATTCTGTCAAACTGTCAAAGGAGAGTCTGTGCTTGCATACTACTATGCCACTCTATAAGTTGAGGTGCATTTCCAATACACGCACCAGTAGGGTCTGAATCATAAAACTACTCAGACTTGAATAACACTATTTTGTCAAACTGTCAGATTAGCGTCTGTGCTTGCAGACTACTATACCATGCTATTCAATTTGGGATGCATTTCTGTAAGCACTAAAATGTCTGAATCATACAACTACTCAGACTTGAATACTAGTACTATTGCTACGCACGATATATGCGTAATTGTTTTGTCAAACTGGCAAATCAGAGTCTGTGTTTGAAGACTACTATGCCATCGTTTACTCGTAGAACGCGAATCGTGCACAGTACATGCGAATACATGTACATTTCGTATGGGAAGTAGCAGAGAAATCACAAGTCCACGCGCATGCGCACATGGGGTATTTGCCCTCTCGAGTACGGAAAAAAAATTCGCCGCCCGCTTTGCATGCAATTTGCGTTCACTATACCATCGTGGCCTGTTCCGTTATGTTATTCCTTGTTTTTGTTTTTATCATTCTATCATTTGCTCTTTCTGTCTTTCCTTATGTTATTCTTTGTTTCTTCCTTCTATACTTATGTTATTCTTTGTTTTTTCCTTCTATCACCTTTTCTTATGTAATTCTTTGTTTTAAGCATTCTATCAATTTCTCTTTCTGTCTTTTTTTATGTTATTCTTTGTTTCTTCCTTCTATCATCTTCTCTTATGTTATTCTTTGTTTTTATAATTCTATCACTTTCTCTTATGTTATTCTTTGTTTTAATCATTCTGTTACTTTCTCTTTCTATCTTTCCTTATGTTATTCTTTGATTCTTCCTTCTTTCACCTTCTCTTATGTTATTCTTTGTTTTAATCATTCTATCACTTTCTCTTTCTGTTCTTCCTTATGTCATTCTTTGTTCCTTCCTTTTTTCACATTCTCTTTCTGTCTTTCCTTATGTTATTCTTTGTTTCTTCCTTCTATTTTTATGTTATTCTTTGTTTTTTCCTTCTATTACCTTCTCTTTTGTTATTCTTTGTTTCTTCCTTCTATTCTTATGTTATGCTTTGTTTTTTCCTTCTATCACCTTTTATGTTATTCTTTGTTTTAAGCATTCTATCACTCTCTCTTTCTGTCTTTCTGTCTTTCCTTATGTTATTCTTCGATTCTTCCTTCTTTCACCTTCTCTTATGTTATTCTTTGTTTTAATCATTCTATCGACTTTATCTTTCTGTCTTTCCTTATGTTATTCTTTGTTTCTTCCTTCTATCACCTTCTCATTCTTTGTCTTATTATTGCGATCTATGCTCAAAACAGCAGTCGACAGTCGGCCGTAAACAATTCCAGAAAGCGCGCGCCGAAGTTCCTGGGCCATACTGCGCAGTGTGATGCGCAGTGGTTTGGCTCGCAATGAGCTAGAATCAGCGTTGATGAAAAATCGCTTGAACGCAAACCGCAGTGACCTTGCTTTTTGTAACGGCGTTTTGAATTGTGATTCATGTTTGTGATTCTAGCTTCGAAAATTCGATTGAACGCACCCTAGAAACATACATGTACTTTACAGTGTGGTTAACTGATTTTATAGCCAGATTAACAAGCACAGCCATTCTAAACATGTGTGGATGATATGATCCTACATCCAAGGTAAAATGTCAGGAAAATATCTTATTACGCAATATCAGTAGCTCATCATAACGCTGACATAGTATTTTTATCAGGCATACAAACTACGAATTAAGTAATTGTGCATAACTCATAATATCGTACAAAAATATTAGTTTAATCCCGCTTATATAAATTCTGGATTGATGTAAACTGAAAAGATTTTTGTCAACTGTCTATAGTGGATGTTAGCAACTCCAGTGGTTAGAATTGAAGGAATACATTGGGCCACAATGTTCTTCAAACAGAGTCTCAGCTAAATGCAGAACAGAATTTCATTATGATGCAAGCCTATTGTCACGCAGTGCTCATCAGAGCGTACTGTCCAGTTAATCTAATGAAAGTATTTGACATTTCCACGCAAAAACGAAAGTGAATGCTTTACTGATTTGTGCATATAAAATCTACAAGTAAATGCATGAAAAATGCATGCATCACCACAAAGAAAAAAGTTAATGTTCTCCATTTGTCACATTGATATTCATTTGCCAATATTATTTGTAAGCATTAAAAATGCTGAGTTGATGTCATAAGCTGGGGAAAAAATCTTGAAGGGTGACATGAAGGTTAACATAGACTCCGCAGACTCTTGACAGATCGTAGAAGAAGGCTAGCTATTCCACAGCTTGGGTTCAGAGAAGTAGAAGGCTCTGTCACCCCAAGGTGTGCAACCGAGATTTTCTGTCAGTCGAGCTAGCTGATATATCTCGGATATGGCTCACAATTCAGAGATTCTAATTCCAGTGCAGAGTAAGTACAGAGTAGCACAGACCCAGGCGCGGATCCAGGATTTTCCAATAGGGGGGGCCGTAAATTTGAAAATTGCGCAGACCGTTTTTCCAAGGTCTAGAAGCACCATACCGGTACAATTTTTGACATTTTCATCGGGGGGGGGGGGGGGGGGGGGGGGGGCTATAGCCTCCAGCCCGTGGAAGCTTTGACCTTTCATTAATTATTAGAGAAAGAAGACGATTTGTTGTACCATTCTCGACTCGTATTCCTTGTCTGAATTCAGTTTTCCCCTCCCGCGCAAAGCGCGGAAACTTTGACCTTTTATAGTTTAATGAAATTATTAGAGAAAGAAGATGATTCGTTCTTCCATTATCGACTCTTAATCCTTCTCTGACTTCAGTTTTTCCCCTCCCGCGGAAAGTGCAGAAGCTTAACGTTTCATTAAATTATTAGAGAAAGAAGACTATTCGTTGTACCGTTCTCGAATCTTAATCCTTGTCAGAATTCAGTTTCCCCCTCCCGCGTTTCATAAAATTATAAGAGAAAGAAGACGATTCGTTGTACCGTTCTCGAATCTTAATCCTTGTCTGATTTCAGTTCCCCCCCCTCCCGCGCGAAGCGCGGAAGCTTTGACGTTTCATTAATTTATTAGAGAAAGAAGAGGATTCGTTATAACTTTCTCGACTCTTAATCCTTGTTTGAATGCAGTTTCCCCCCTCTCGCGCGAAGCGTGGAAGCCATGGGCGTCAATCCTTACGTAATTTGTTCAGGGGGGGGGGGGATGAATGAATAGATCATCCCCCTGAACAATAGGTATCAATTACAGATCTACGCCCATGGTGGAAGCTTTGACCTTTCATTCAATTATTAGAGAAAGAAGACGATTCGCTTGTTCTATTCTCGACTCTTAATCCTTGTCTGAATTCAGTTTCCTCCCGCCCGCGTGAAGCGCGGAAGCTTTGCCCTTTTATTAATTATTAGAGAAAGAAGATTTGTTGTACTACTCTCGACTCTTATTACTTGACTGAATTCATCCCCCTCCCGCGCGAAGCACGGAAGCTTTGGCCTTTCATAGTTAAATGAAATTATTAGAGAAAAAGATGATTCGTTGTTCCATTCTCGACTCTTAATCCTTGTCTGAATTCAGTTTTTCCCTCCCGCGCTTTGCGCGGAAGCTTAACGTTTCATTAAATTATTAGAGAAAGAAGATGATACGTTGTTTATGTCATCGAATCATTATCCTTGTCTGAATTGAGTTCCCCCCCCCTCTCCCGCGCGAAGCGCGGAAGCTTTGACATTTCGTTAAATTATTAGAGAAAGAAGACGATTCGTTGTACCATTCTCGACTCTTAATCCTTGTTTGAATTCAGTTCCCCCCCCCCTCTCACGCGAAGCGTGGAAGCTTTGACCTTTCATTCAATAAATATTAGAGAAAGAAGACGATTCGGTGTACCATTCTCGACTCTTAATCCTTGTCTGAATTCAGTTTCCTCCCGCCCGCGTGAAGCGCGGAAGCTTTGCCCTTTTATTAATTATTAGAGAAAGGAGACGATTCGGTGTACCATTCTCGACTCTTAATCCTTGTCTGAAATCAGTTTCTTCCCGCCCGCGTGAAGCGCGGAAGCTTTGCCCTTTCATTAATTATTAGAGAAAGAAGATTTTTTGTACCATTCTCGACTCTTATTACTTGACTGAATTCAGCCCCCCTCCCGCGCGAAGCACGGAAGCTTTGGCCTTTCATAGTTTAAAGGTACTATGTCCCATTTGCAGGCCAAAAAAATGAAAAAGTTAAATTCCAACTGCATTTGATAGATAATACTAATTTAGAAATACCCTTAAAAAGGTGGGGCTTGAAAATGTCTTCAAGTGGGAAAATAACGACTATTAGTTGTCAAATCGACTTTAGGGCTATAGAGCCCGAAAGTAATAGTCTTGATTTTCAGATAATTGTACCGAATGGTCAAAAGTTTTATGCTGCGCAAAGATTCAATCAGTTTAATCTTGGCCATTACAAGAAGTGGGTTATTGATGTAGACAAATGCTCATGTACCCTTAACAACTCTTTTCATGTATGTTATTACCAAAGAAAAAAAAGGCCAGTCAGTCACTCAATAGTGTCTGACAGTGAATTCTAGCAAGTAAACAGGTTTCCTTGCATAATTTGAATATAAGGACACTGCTAACGTTCAATTATTAGAGAAAGAAGACGATTCGTTGTACCGTTCTCGACTTGTCAGAATTTTCAAAAATGTCCTCTTACTGCCCCTACCGCCCCTGGCCACGCGCCTGCTTTAAAGGGAAAATGAAACAATCATGATTGTGATAGCACACAATAGCTTTCTTCTTTATTTTTTCTCTTCTTTTTTCCTTTCTCTTTTCCTTTCTTTTCTCTTCTCCTTTTTTTTTCTCTCTTCTCCTTTCTTTTTTCTCTTCTTTTCTTCCTCTTTTTTTTTTTTTTTTTTTGCGCCGCCAATAGGGGGGGCCGCGGCCGTTTCGGCCCCCCCCTGGATCCGCCACTGCAGACCTACCCTCTTTTATGCAGTGACTCTGTAACATTGCCTCAGATTCTGAAACAAAATCCTGGATTTATTTCATGCTGCAATCGTAATTAATTATAAACCTTTAGGTCAGTCAGGAATCCCATGACGTTCACAAGCGGATCACCTGTCTGATTATCAAGATATTGATGATTGGAAATCAAAATTTCATTTTTTGTTTTCTTATCGGTTTTCATAACACTACAGTCTATTGAGGAAAATGAGTACCGGTATGATAAAACCGGTCAATCAGGATTTTTACTTTTTAGAGGCACTTCATGATCATTTTGAAGCGCAATTTTTTTAGGGTTTCAATATTACACCATATCACAGACACTGATAACATGTATAGCCATGTATCTCAGATTTAACATTGTTAAACGATGCTTGTAATATGGGGTGAAAGTGACTTTATTGCCTAAATAATATTTTGGAGCTGAGCTAACTCGACTCTTCCACACCTGGCGTTCAAGGGACATCCATCAACACGGTAACAAAGACAAGTCACTTGTCACCAAGACATCAAGTTGATATGTCATCAGTGTACCTTATCACAGAGCATTCCACAACACTAGAGGCTTTCATCACGAGTGTTAGCACTGTGATAAAAGATATGAAATGACCCCCTTCTCACTCTCACCAAACTTATCATCCACTTCATACAAAATCTGGACACGATAGTGTGTCTTCAAAGTATCCTTTGCGAATACAATCTGAAATTCATTCTGATACACATACAATTACGGTAACAAATGAATTAGTCATACCCTAACCAAGTTTTTACTATTAAAAAAAAAAATGTAATGAAAAATTGATTTATCCCTTATATTGTTTGTTGAGAATGTCCCATTTGCAGGCCCCCAAAATGAAAAGGTTAAATTCCAACGGCATTTGAAAGATAATACTAATTTAGAACTTCTCTAAAAACGAAAGGGTTTGAAAATGTCTTTTAGTACAAATAGTAGGAAAATAATGCCCATTAGTTGTTGAGTTGACTTTAGTGACTGCAATAATTTTAGTAATAGTCTGATTTTCAGACCCTTGTACCGGATGGTCCTACGTTTTGTGCTGTGCAAAGATTCAATCCGTTTAAAGTCCTGCAGAATTCGATGTTGGCTGCAAATAGGATATAGTACCTCTAAAGCTTACATTTAAACGGAATGAACAGAGGCCCTATTTCAACCGATGCACCTTTCATTCTTAAAGTAAGAAAAACAATGTACAAGGGGTATGAATAATACAGTTGTGAAACTGTAGGTCTACCCAATAAGACTAGAGGTACTAAAGTTACAGTAGAGGTAAGATAAAAATGGCTGCAATAACCTGGAAGTAAGGCTATCCATCGACATATCTTCATGTCATCGGTGCGGTGAGAGTGATATACTGCAGCCATCTTTCAGGTAAACATAAACCATTTGGGGGCTCATGATGGCAAACAATTTACAATCACTGTCACTGAAAATTCCTCTTGCTGATGAAGTCTCTATTTTAAACCCTTCCTATTTCTGGCATCGCATTTTGCATTTTGGTTGTATCACAGCTTAAACCCTTCCATTCCATGGGCAGCAAATGCCTACCAAGAATTAAGCTGGTCTACCATATTAGCTTGGCCTATTATCAAGAAGCTATATATTCCATATGCTAAATGTAGGACCTATGGAAGATAAGCCAAATTAATAATGAAACCCCCAAATTTTATTCTAATAAGTTCTACAATTTTTTTCTCCATAAACCAAGGGTGAGTTAATTGTAAAAAGATTTTTCCCTGGTACGATGATAATTCTCTGGAAGCTTGTAAATGAATGACAGTTTTAGGCTGGTGGTGACATATCACTTGCCACAAGAATAGAAAGGATTCACTTTGAGTTTCCATGAGGAAAATCTCCCAGCAGAGCATCAAGCTTAACATCATCATCATCATTGAGAACTAGTAACATCTATTCTTCTTAATTCATTTTGTATTTCAAACGGACAATATTTTGAAAGGATGAATAAGAAAGTGAAAGTAAAATTGACTTACTTTATACTGCCCTTTCTTTTGGGTCCTCCTTGTAAGTCATTGTTGTTGATTGGTCCTAAACCTCCTCCTCCTCCTCCTCCAGTACCTCCTTCAAGTTCTGTCAATGAAAGTAACAAAGAAATAGACAATTTATTAATATTACAACTTTTATGAAATATCAAACGCAATCTTAATGACTATTTGTAGTTTTTTTTCCTTGCAAGAAAGGGTTGAAGAGCAAGGTTACAGACTAACAATATGAGATACAGCATACCTCATGCCAGCTAAAGCATATTAACAAATATTTTCCCGCTGCTGTGCCGCAGACAATACCAATACGAATCTGGGACATTTTAACCCAATGCTTATTGGAACTGGTTTGGCTACTGTATCAATATCTATGGGAATAAAAGAATCTGACATTCAATGGATGAACAATGATCATCTTACTGCATGTCTCAAACATTCCATGGTATTAATGTAATTCACCAAATCATGTCATCCGTTAAAGGCTTCAGACAAATATTGACACAGTGATGTACATCAGCAATACAGAATGGGTTTGTGCAACATGTCTCAAACATACAAACATAAATAGTTGAGAAACTGAAAGACTCAGAGAAGATATGAATGGAATCCAGGCTGAAAATTCTGGCTGAATTCACAGAGGAATCTACTGTCCTAAATTTAAAAAATACTTCTCCAATACACTCAAAAAGGAAAAGTTGCTGACTAAATTAGTTTACTATTACTATTTCAACATCTTATACAATCACAAAGTTCAGTACTGTAATTCTGATATTTTCGACTATGGTATGTACATAACATAGTGACTGTAATGCAAGGCGCACATTAAAAAAAACATGAAGTGATTACAGCATGTAAATTCACCCCTGAAGAAGCATTTTCACCAGATTTTTTATTTTTCTGTTGATTTAAAAATGATTTGTCTATATAATAAGTCACAGCTGGTGACATATTCTGAACAATCTCTATACTCCTGTGGTAAAACATTTAGTGGTCTAGAGAATCTTACTCTAGAAGTCATGGTATTGTCGAATGGCAAGCTATGTGGATTTCTGTACTAACCTTTACTATACCTTTGCATATAAGGGGTGAAGTTAACATAATGATCTCTATCAGGCCTTTGTGGTTATTTACAGTACTTATCAACTCATCTGGTGTACAGATATCATCTTATACAAGTTGATGGTGTGTTACATATCCACCCTTCATGACAAAGTGTGTTTTACTCTTTCTCAATGTTTCAATATATTTTAACTACCACTTAAATGGGTTAATCTAATCCAGGATCCCAACTTACACAATTTCATTCAAAGGCAAATTAACTACATAAGCTTTGAGATCAGGCTACACCGATGATAGCCAAGTGAAAGAAGTGGTAGAAAGAGAATAAGAAGTAAAAAAAATAGTACAGTCAAACCTGTGTATAGCAACCGCCCAAGGGAAACAGGTTCCTTTCGTACATGTTTCAATGAGAAACTATTTTCAAGGGAAACAAGAAATGTGGTCTTTGTAGACAGGTGGTCACTAAAGCAGGTTTGACTGTATAAGAATAAGTATACGTACATGTGAAAGTAGAAGTAGAAACAGTAAAAGTAGAAATAGAAGAAGTAGAAATAGAAGAAGTAGAAATAGAAGAAGTAGAAATAGAAGAAAAGTTGAAATAGTAAAGGTTGAGAAAGTGGAAGTAGAAAGGGTAGAAGTAAAAAGGGTAGAAGTAAGAAATAGTAGAAGTAGAAACAGTAGAAGTACAAAAAGTAGAAATAGAAGAAAAGTGGAAATAGAAATAAAATAAGTAGAGAAAGTAAATGTAGAAATAGAAGTAGTAAAATAGTAGAAATACAAAAAGAAATAAAAGTAGAATTTTAGAACTAGAAATAGCCATAGAAGTAGAAATAGCAGTAGAAGTCATAGTGCTGGTGATGGTAGTAGTAGTAGTAGCAGCAGTTGTAATAGTAGCAGTAGCAAAACAATAGCAGTACAAAAACAACTCATCAGGTCACACCTTGACTGATTGAAATTGTAAAGAGAGTGCACCTTTATGGCAAATATATAGGCCTACAAAATCCTATTACTACATAGGTTATTGATGAGAAAGTCACAAAGTTAGTCCAATACTAGAGTGAGTGCTGATGCAGGTATTACAATTAATCCTGATACAGACTGCTATGGTGCCCAGGTGCATGGTGGTGATAAAGATAATGTAAATATTACCAGTGTCCAGAGTACCTGGGTAACAAGCTTCCCCAATGAGGGGCGATTCTTCCTTGAGCCTTAAGAGGCAACAGCTTCGTAGCATCCCTAGCATGATGAAGTGATCACGTCTTCTTGATCACGCATGTAACCATTCACACCCACAAGACAACGATAGATAGACCCTATATACAGCCACTCAGTAACTATGCATGCCTGATGCAACAGGTTGAAGAATAATGGAGGAATGGAAAGAGAGAGAGGGAAGTGTCTACTGAAGCAAGAAGAAGCGTAAGTTTCTGCTAGAGCAGATATTCAAATGCATTTGTATGTAAAACAGAAGTGAAGATGGAAAAGCGAGAGTCTCAAATGACAGCCAGATCTGCACAGCAGGGATTGCGAAGGCAGAATCTCTGTCCTCGGTCTATCCTCTGCCTGGGAGATAAAATCACAATACACAAGTGAGTTCGCTCTTGGCGATCTTATGTAAGATGCTATCATCAAGAGAAAGTAAGAGCTTAGTCAAGGGAAGAAAAAAGCCTGTTGCACAACATACAAGAGCGCTGCAATACGGAGGCAAGCAAGAATGAAATATATTACGATCGCAATGCTGGTCTATTGTCTCACGACCAAGCCACTTCACACAGATTTCCATTAATATGGTCATTTGGAGAAAGAAACTGGTTACCATGGCAATTTCCTCTGTCGAAGGCAAGCAAGAAGCCTTAATTTTACTTCAGAGGCAGCAGCAACGCATACGATTTGTTTAATTGATGGCAATTTGATTTCCCCTTCGAGAGATGTTCTGTTTACAGCAGGGAGTATTGGATAATTAGTGCTTCGCTCTGGACAATTAACTCATTTAACGACCTTTCAAGACAGAGTCTTAGTTTTTGTATGACAATGAAGAAAAAGTAGAATCATTTCCAACAAAATGACTTAATAATCCCTGTTTAGTTAGCAAAAATAAGATATCTGGATTAATTATCAAATTGTAATTATTTGTATACAGTTATTATACATATTTATACAGTATAGAAATATAAAATGTATTTTAAATGGATGTAATTATATTGGTAAATCTTTGGATATCTCGCTAGTGTATAAAAATAAATTCAGAATAGCAAGCATATTCCATAATCAAAGAATGTGCAAATTATTAAATAATCTCCAAAAATTATTGAATATTCAAAAGGGCAGTAAATTAGATGATTCAAATAAATACAATTACTTCCTAGTATTTCATAGTGCCGACGACACAAAATTACAAAATTCTATTTGGAAATACACACGCACGTAGACTTTCCCCCTAAAAAAAATACACTCAAAGCGATACAAAGAGTGTATAGCAGATTATGCAACTATATATTATATCGTATAATTACTTACTCAAATGGTCTCGCTTCCACAATACTAGCTGCAATACATAATAGTCCAGACTCAAGAGTACATATGTTCTCGAGAGAAAACCTCAACGAACCAAAGATAAATTTTCCAATGCAGGATGAAACCAAAACCACTCTATACTTCCTGGCTAGGAAATGGTCCAAATAACGACAAATCCACAGATCAGAGAGTTACATCCAGAATGGATTTAATTGGTAACCTTTCTCAAAACCTCTGAAAGAAATATGAGAAGGGCGAATGAAGATAGGAAGGTTGAAATGGACAGAGGTGTATAGCCCTAGCAGTGAAGATATAAGATACATGCAGATCACAACGTTGGTAGACTTGATAAATGGGGAGGATTCGCCAGCCATTGTCATACCGGCATTGTCATACTGGCATCGCCAAACCTCAATCGATGGGTGGACTGTGTAATTTTCGTTGGGCTTTGGACATTCCAGGCATTCTCCTGATTTGGGCTAAGTAAACAAATAAGTCAATACTTGTTATGTAAGCAGAAAAACACCATTCTTGTTGGGCAGGGTATGAGCATGGACTAGTGGTATAAGTAACTTTTAGGGATGCTAAATGCAGTACTTGCAACTAAGTAATCCTACTAAGATTTTACACTTGTATGCTTAAAGAGAAGGTTGAGTTCTGGGAAGAGGTAAAAAATAATTTGTGAGCATTATCATTGTTATTATGCAAGGGTGGAAGAACATCAGACAGATTAAACATGTTCCCTGAAAAGCATGGCTCTTCAAATGCCTTCATATTCTAAATATGACATGAAACATCGTAAAAATCTGGGGTAGGTTTTTTTGCCATGTGCTCGTGTAGTCCCATATACATCATTCTGTGTACAGTGCTTGTAACTTTGCCAAGATTTGGCCAAATTTCTTATCATTTTGATGATTCCAGAACCTTGCAATACACACGAATACTTATATACTAGATGATCAACCTTTTCTGATAGATTCCACACCGTTTCTTTCACAATGCAATCACATACCAGAACTCAACTTTATCTTTAATAGCAAAAGGAATATGCACTATCATTAGTCTTTGAAATACATCTTAGGGTATAAATTTCAAATTCTCTGAGGCCAATGAAATGAGTAACATATTTCAATTCACCATCAATGATATATGTTTTTTTGAAGAAAAGACTTGCAAATACAAAATTCAGTATTGTGATTCAAACACAGGAATTTTCACTTGAATAAAATACAAGTTGTATCTTTAAAAAAATACTGTAAAATATTTGCTTCTGGGTCATGTTGCTTCCTGTAGCAATTTCCGGTGCATGTTGCTTCAAATGATATAACAGTGTAATATCAATTCAAGTCATTAATAACATACTTTTGTTCTTCTGTACTTCAAAGCAGTCTAAGTGTTTTTCCAATTCTCATGAGTAGTCGACAGTAGAGCATATTTTACTCCTTATCTATAAGTGTGTTATTGATGCAATGGCTATACTTGTTATGGTTTTGGAAACCATGTTTTGAAAGAAGC